AAGATTTAGGTTATCTTTGTGGTGTGCTCGGACAATCCTACATGGGCGAAGAAGCATCTCCCAGCATACGACAAAGGTATGATTGTATGCTTAAAAAGAGCCAAGTGAACCGCCTGCTCATCTCTCCGATAGCAGAAACCTCTGCTCGTTAGCCTCTGACAAATGTGAGAGAAAGATGTGGGCGAAGCCTTCTGATAGTTGGGGGTGGTTGGCTTACGCGGATCTATCGTCGTGTTATGAAGGTTGGCAAAGACACAAATAGGCGAAAGATGAAGGGCACAATATCTAGGCCCAAATTAATAGGTTCTTAGAGGCGTAAACTTCCATTGCTCTGTTTAGGAATGATATTCGCCTGCCCGGGAGTTCATCGCGAAGTCGACATGGCAATTCTTTTACACTGTGACGCACTTGTCCTCTCTACTGGCACTTTCTCTTGGTGGAGTGGATTTCTCAACACCAAGTCCGAAAAGGTAAGAAGCTTGTGCTCCTTCTATAAGTACAAAACTGAAGTGGACATTTGTAAGTCACGTGGGCGCAGAGAGGATTTAATACTAATACTTCTGCTCTTTGCTAAAGGCAGAATTTACGACTACAAAGCAGCACATCAGAATTAAGGTAGAGGTGGTCAGTGGTGCCTGAAGGAAAAACGTGAGAAACGACCGAGAAACCCGAGAAATGGGACCCCTTCCTTGTTCGTTGAATCCTGTATCGATGCGCTCATCGGTGCTAATCTCTTCAACTCTAACGCTCTCTATGCTGATCCTAGAAAGCGGCGAGTAGTTAGCCAGTCGATGGGCGTGCCGCGTCATTAGCGGCGCGGGGAGGCCATGCTAGATCGCTGCAAATTGCTTGTCGGTCCGCACCCTTGCGAGGTTCGCCTGCCTTTCCAGCGCGAAGTGTCCTCTTCTTCGACCTTCAACTTGTCGTGGAATCCTCCTTTATTTGTATGAGAATTCCTTAGAGGAATAAAAACTCTGATGCTTTCGGGCTCTCCCCAGAGTAACAGTTGAGATGAATACCCATGTCAACACTGCTACGATTTCGAAAGAAAATGTTTACGTGGGGCATCCAAAAGGAGTTGATCAACATAAAACAGTTCATACTTATTTTATGCTTTACATGGCATAAAGCAGTTAATGAGTATACTTTCAGACTATTTACTATGATGGCTGGCCACAAGACGGATCGGATCTCATGTTGATGGTCAACAAAACCGAGCTTTACCCGAGCTCATGGATTCCACTTTTATAAACAATACATTGTAATTTATAATAAATACGACAAGACTCAGAAATTCGATGATAAGTAGGCCCTACTGAGCTATTTATGAAAAAAGTAGCATTCCATGTTTTTTACCCTTGAATTGAGTGAAGTGCGCTGTATCAGACAGTCGTCCTCGAAGTCACTTAAAGGCACACCCCACGATCAAACTGGTGTGACTCGCACACGAAAATGAAAGTAGTTTGCGGCAGTAGTAAGCAGTAAAAGCAATGAAGTAGAGAAAAATGTAAACGAGCCTGTTGAAAACACTAACAAGGGGGTCTTTCAGGGCAAGCCACGCTTTTTCAAAACGGTTTCTTGCATATTGTAGGGACGCATGTAGGGACACAAAACCATGTTTCATTTTCGCTGAACGGTTTTAGCAGTACCAAAAAAGCGTTTGAAGCCAACAAGTGGCCGCCAACCTTGATTGCAAAATTTAGTCGCCGCGGGGATCGAACCATCAAGGGTATCATTCACCACTTTTTTGGTACTACTAAAACCGTTCAGCGAAAACGAAACATGGTTTTGTGGTCCATACATGCGTCCCTACAATATGCAAGAAACCGTTTCCAAAAAGCGCGGCTTGCCCTGAAAGACCTCCCTTGTAAGTTCGAGGACATTTCTACAGGGTGGCCGCAATTTACGGTGACAGCATAATGTGACCACAGAAATTTTTTACAGCACATATCTATAAATGACCACCGGAAAGCATAGTTATATTAGCTGAAGGTTAACAAACAAAAAATAGGG